AAAGTCTTTTACTTATAATTATAACTTTGTGTAAAGCAAATGTCAAAGGTTTCTGTGTCATAAATCCTCTCAATGAACAACATATTCTAATCATAGAAGAGAGTCATTACTGGCCAAAATCTCATTTAAAGTGGTAATACAGTGTATCCTTCTCCAGATTTGCATGCTTCTTGAAACTGGTGGAAAAGAAATTGTTCTAACAATAACTGATGTCAAACTCAAGCCCAGCTCACCTCGTAAAGTGTCCTCATCAAAATCTGGTACATTTTCTTGGTCAGGTAAGTCTTCTTTTTCACATGAAACTTTAATTGGACTTCTTCCTGAAGTCATAGCAACTGTAAGAAGATGCTTCTTCCAAAAAGTTGCTTTTTAAAGTTATCCTGGCCTGAAAAAAAGATGGTTACAAATGGTCAATAAACATCTGAGCTCAACATATTACCCAGCTGCAAAATAAACATTTTCTTCCCTCTGAGCATGGGAGGGATACACTTTTTAGACACAAGATCACAAGTCCATTAATATTAATGGAATACAAATAACTGATTAAAGAAGCAAAAGAACAAAAGATGCATATACTGAAGAAAACAAGCATTTATTTTAAGAAGAACATAATTCACCTCTTATAATAAAAAATTTCAAGATTTATAAATACATTCCCAGTTAACTGAGATAAATTGGACAAAAATCATCATCTGTGTCTCACAATTTCAAATAGTTTGTAACAGCAGCAGTTCAAATTATTAATTTACATTAAGAGGCTATAGGTAGTTAGGTAAAGTCTGTATTTGAGCAGTGGCCTGTCCAGGCCCTGAGCTTATGGTTTTCTCACATGAAGTGACTAGGAGTATTACTACCCACCCCCTGGACAGGATACTAATTCATCACATGGTTACCCAACTCCCCTTCTCCTCCCTCCCCACAACATTTCATCAGGTTTCCCTTGACTATTATAAATCTCTGCTACTCATTTATACTCCTTGGTGGAGAGGGGCACTGTGAGAACAAAACACATGACTCACCCTGAGGTTTCAACTGCAGACCTCTTAACCCTGAGTCCAGCACAGGCCCGGTTACATATGCAGACCTCTTGACCCTGAGTCCACCACACTAATTATAAGGCCATGCATGGCATGTCTCAATGAAAGGGGAATTAAAGTTTATGCTGAATTCTTTCTCATAAGAAACAAATCTTACAAAACTAAAGAAATGTTCTCTTGTTTGATTTTTAAATAGGGATTACTGGTCAAAACTT